GGGCAGCAAGCCAGCCCAGGCGCGCCTGGGCTGCCCCGCTGCCTGAGCCCCTCCGCGGCTTTGCTCCGCATCTTCCTGGTCTGCAGACCAGGGAGACGCGGAGCAGCTTTTCTCGCCCGGAGTACACGGGCGGCGGGACCGCGAGGTCCCGCAGTCCATGTACTCCGGGGCAGCCCTGTTCGTAACTGCGGATCCGACATAAGTCGGATCCGCGTAAGTCGGGGACTGCCTGTATATGAAATTAGAATCCCAAAAGACAGCAGTTAGCACGTAGCCTGTAAACCATTAGCTCTAATGACAGGATGGTCAACCATCTCATAGAGAGAATTTACAGAACACAGCATGCAAACAGTTGGTTAGCTTTGTAAATTCTAAATGAAATTAACTTGCACTTTGGTTGAAGCAAGATTAGACTAGATTAGCAAATCACTAAAAAAAGAACAGAAGCATTATCTCGTTGCAGATCATTGATCAGTTTAGTCAGATATCTAGTCTCTCACATGCTTCAGAGGAAGGTATCAGAAAACAAATAACCTTCCCCTTCACAAAATAAAGCCCCCAAACTACATAGCGGAACCATTTTGTTAATCTCTTTCTCCTTCCCCAAACTCCCCATACTGTTCACTAGTATGTATTGCATGTACTCACCACATTTATCCAAGCTGCATTAGCTGTAATAATGTAACTTTTGCTTAGTGCAGGAGAATACCATAATTATTAGCACTGATAAACAAATGGTTTGGGATTTTTTTAACTGTCAGCGGAGTAGGGAGTTATTGCAAAGGACCATCTTACAACAACACTGGCCTTTCAGATATTTAAGGCACTGGGGCTAATGCAAGCCTTCTCTGTTTTGCCCCAGGTTTGGCTGGCTCAGACATATATGGTGTACAGAAAGGTTTTCATCTCTGTAGGTAGGCACACGGGTGCATCTCTCTCTCAGAAGCATGTTCTGATTAAAAACTTACTGTAGAGCTAATGTCAACCCGGACTTCTACATCTGTTTACAAATCAGAAAGGAGCAAGCACTAGACTTATAGCTATCAAATGGAATAATCTGAAGCATGATTTTTATGACGGTGTGCACATTGTAATATGCACCAAGCTGGGAATGGCTGTGGCCTGGCATAAATTTTCTGGTTTATGTGGGTCTGATGAAGTTGTTTATTTTCAGCATCATAACACTGTGTAAAAGCAACAAGCGAGAGTCAGCTGAAATCATTTGAGTTGCACGCAGTAGAAATTTGATCTAATGCCTGAATGTGGGTTTACCATTTACTTGCTAACACATTATGATGAATACATAATTTCAATTAGGATAGCTGTTAAAAAAATACATGTTGTTATCCGTAAACTGTCTTAGTTAAAAATTCCTGGATAAAAAAGGCATTGGTATGTAAAATAATACAGTACCATGTTTTATTATTTTAACATGGCAGTTAATCATTTGCCCACTATAAATTTGATTTTGGTTTCATATCAGGTCAGTCATGCCATTGGCTTTTTAATTAACTAACCAACCATCACACTAGGAAAATGTGTAATTTTATGGGTGCATATAAGTTAACTGAATATAAAAGTTTATTTGTTTTTACTGATGCCAAGTGAAAGCAGTTTCATTGTGAAAGTAGAATAAATTGATGCAGCTTTTTCAGATCTGATTATGAGAAATGGCTTCCCATTCCAACTTGTTAAAGTTAAACCCTCATAATACTGTAGTCACGGCCAGAATATGGCAGGCTGTAAATGAGACAGGATTCTGGAAAACATTCAGGCCATTGGAAAGAGCAATGGATGTTACTTTAAAAATGAGAGTAATGGACACTCCAGCAATAGACATCCAAATACACTTTGTATTTCATTCGGTCTAGGTTACAACTTGCCCATTGGGAGGAGTGAAGGGGATTCAAAGATGTATTTGTCCTTTGAGTGGGCAACTGGAGAAGCTCTGCCCCTTTCACAGGCAGAATCTCCAGGGGGTGCTGAGGCTCAGTACGATCACTTGTCATCTTTGATATCACGTAAATCTGGCAGCTCACACCCTGTTAGAGCAGTGATGTGCAGTGCCAATGCACGCCGCCTCTCCGTGCTCATTGGCCAGATCTCATGCCCAGTGACGTTAGTGGAATGTTGGACCGGACTCGGGAAGTGTTGGTATCGCATTAAGATGAGGTCATGCTGTGTACTTCTTGTCCCCTAGCGCAGGACTAACCAGAATTGAGGTCTCTTTGTATCCTGGTCAGTAAAGGAAATGTGTTTGTTGGTAATGGGTGAACTTTAAGGAACTTAGCTTGATTAAACATGTTTTCTACTACTCCCATTCTCCCAATAATAAATCCATATCATGTGTTTCTCTTTAGAAACCAGAAAAATGGCAACAAAGGAGAAGCTGCAGTGTTTGAAAGATTTCCACAAGGACATCCTCAAACCTTCCCCTGGCAAGAGCCCTGGCACACGTCCTGAGGATGAGGCAGAGGGGAAGCCACCTCAACGGGAGAAGTGGGCGAGTAAGATTGACTTTCTGCTGTCTGTGGCTGGTGGATTTATTGGTTTAGGCAATGTCTGGCGGTTTCCATATCTCTGCTATAAAAATGGCGGAGGTGAGTATCTTTCTCTCTCTCGAATTCCTGCTCGTTCATCTATACATTTTCCCAACCATCCATCCTTCCAACACTAGCATTAAAGTGCCTCCCACATATCTAAACACTGAACTAAGCATAACAATCTCTTTTCTCTTTCCCAACCCAAGAAGAAATCAGCTTGATTACTTCATAGTTAATATCCAACTCTGTTATGAAATTACCCAACAGTCTTGATATTAACTTAAATATATATATATACATTCATTATATGAATCAATATTCTGAGTGTAAACGTAGAATAACTCCAATGAATGGTGCTACTCCAAATTCATATCAGTGCAACTGAGACAAAACTTAACATTTCTTAATTAAAAATAGTACTTTAGCTTAAATGAAATCAGAGTATTTCTAATCCTCAAAATCATAGGTGTTCACTTCAAAAGGAATGAAAATATCCTTTCACTGCCCTGCTCTACACTCCCCTTATTTAGAAATAACAAGGAGAGCATCCACACTACCAAGCCAGTTATTTCAAAATAAGGAGCTGGTTATTTCGAAATAATAACTCCTGCTTTCCTCAGGGAATAAACTTATTTCAAAATAGTAATTTCAGGAGGTATTATTTCAAAATAAATTATTTTGAAATAATTTCCTAGTGTAAATATGCCCACTTTGATTTGTAACAATTCTATTTTTAATCTTTGAATAGGAGCAATAGTAGTATTGTTATATGGGTACATAAAGCTATCACATTTGTTTCCTTGTTACATAGATCTATTGTAGCACATCTGTATTATTCTACATTTTGAATAGAGCCATGCTCTTAATCTCTATTGTACATCATTGTGTTTTCTCTACAGGTGCTTTTCTTATACCTTATTTCATTTTCCTGTTCGGGGGAGGTCTTCCAGTGTTTTTCCTGGAGGTGGCACTAGGACAGTTTACTTCTGAAGGAGGAATTACATGCTGGGAAAAGATCTGCCCTATTTTCACTGGTTAGTTATTTTCCTCCCATCTCATGATGCAAGACGCACAGTTAACGAATGCAATGATATGGAAGTGCTCGCTGGAAATGTTCAAAACTGCTGTGCTAGCTGCACTGATGGCAGAAGGTGTTATTAATGGGTAATTTCCATTTCAACACCCAACCGTGCAAAGTGCAGAATGCCTTTGACTCCCATTTTTTCAACACCGGTGCCCTGGTTCATCACAACCTTAAAGCAGAGGTGGGGAACCTCAGGCCCAGGAAGCCAGATGCAGCCCCTGGACTTGGCCCATGAGGGTCAGCCTCCCCTCCCAGTACTGGGGAGTCCGCATTGGCACTCCAGCCTCTCTCCTCCCCTGTTGTCTCTCTAGTGCAGCTGGCACACAAGGCAGGGCCCCCTAGACTCTGGTGTGGGAGGGAAATGTCTTTCTCCTTCTCATGGGCCATGTCAGTGAGGGCTTTTTTGTTTTGTTTTTTTGCTTCTCACTTGTGTGTGGCCCTTGACTGATTTTTTCTGTGAGACCCAAAAAAGGTTCCCCACCCCGCCTTAAACATTTGCCTAACATTGCTACTGTGTGATTTATGCATGAGTGCAAATGCCTTGCCAAATAAGGATGAGATTATTCAAATGCTTCCCATCGCGTAGCAGGGACTGACAGTCAGTGCAGGACCTGAAGCAACGTGTGTGTGTGGGGGGGGGGGCGAGACTGGCTTCGCACCCCTGGAAGGGGCAGGGCTGAGAGTGGAAGGGGCAGGACGGAGGGCAATCAGCCTTTAGTGCCATCCCAAACTGTGGCGCACTCCCCCTACCAGCCCTCAGAGACAGGTGGAATGGTGGAGCAGTGCTGTGGTGCGCCAGTGGCAATTCAAAGGGGTCTGAGGCTCTGGCCACTGCTGCAGTAGCAGTGATGGGAACAGGGTGCACTGACCCCCCTTGAAACTCTGGGCCCCGAAGCAATTGCCTGTTGGTAGGCCTGCCATTGTGAATGTCTTTAAGTGCTTTGCTGAGTTGAGACCAAATGCACTGTGGGGGAAATTCGCCCCCGGCCAGCACAAGGCTTATGCACCAGTTAAACTGCACTTAAATCTTTAGATATCAGGGCCTGATTCTAGAAAGGGACTCTCAATGATTTCAGTGGTCTTGGACTAGGTCTTTTAGGTATGCCCTTGAAGTGTTTTTGTTTTGTTTTGTTTTGTTTTGTGCTTAAAAGCAGGGAGTAAGTATATTCCCTTCATGTCCTCCAGCACCGCTGTTAGTTATAGTAGCTGACTATATGATATTGGTTCTTGTAAAAGTAGAAATCTGAGAGTAAAAAGGAGAAATCAAAGAATTGATTTTTGTTCCTGTTACCTGACAGAAGTGCCAATAAATAAGAAAGAAATTGCATGTTGTGCACTAAACAGGCTCACAGCATGAGGCTGTGCAACCTGTGAGTAAGAGAGAGGTGATTTCACACTGTGTTGACAAGAGCTGGAGAAGGTAGTGTTCCATTGAAATACTAGGTGACCAGAGTATTTTCCATAGTCTCATACCCTTCTGCGAAAGTGTCTTTCCTAATGTTATCCTGGACTGAAAAACAAGCTCTCTTTGCCATGCAAAACCTTGCCATTAGCATCATAGCTATATTGCATGCATAGCTGGAATTTGAATGGCTTTCTGTGGAAAGATTCAGGCATATAGCTTTTGTGGGAGTGATTTCAGACTGTGGAAAAGAACTCTGGCTGTTATTATTTAAAGGACCTTAGCCAACAAATGAAGAAACACTTGCCATTCACAAGAATTGTGCTAACGCCACTTTGAAATTTAATGGGAATATAAAATTAAAAGCACATTGACTGTCTGCAGAGTGACTCTGGGAAATTAACAGACTTGCAAGAATTAGCTCCTGTTAATGATGAGTGATTACGCTGAACAGAGATGCACTACTCTCCCTTTCAAAATGTGAGTGGGAAATTGACTTAGGCTTCAATTTGTTACAGTTACAGTGAGCAGTATCTTACTATTTGAAATGAATGGAAGTAAGGGTACGTCTAGACTACCGCGTTTTGTCGACGGAAGTTTTGTCGACAGATACTGTCGACAAAACTTCCGTCGACAAAGAGCGTCCAGACACATTGAGTTCTGTCGACAAAGCAAGCTGCTTTGTCGACAGAACTCCGTAGTCTGGACGCAATGTTACAGGCAATAGCACCTTCTGTCGACAGAGTTCTGTCGACAGAAGGTGTTATGCCTCGTAAAATGAGGTTTACCAGCGTCGACAAAACTGCTGAGTTCTGTCGACGTTATGTCGACAGAACTCAACGGTAGTGTAAACGCTGGTATAGTTTTGTCGACAAAAGTCCACTTTTGTCGACAAAACTAGGTAGTCTAGACACACCCTAAGATAGTATACAAGTAACTAAGTAAGATAGTATACAATGGGTCAAATTCTTAGCTCTTATACTGAAGTGGAATTACCCTGATTTACATCCCTTTCTTTTCTTCCCCTTCTTTCATTAAGCCATAGGGTTGGGGAAGAAGGGAATGTTCTTACTTTAAATGAAAAATATCCTTGGTATCCTTGGAAATGAAATCTGTGTTTCTAATAATACAGCTAAGTGAACTGTACAGTTTGGACTGAAATGTAGAATAGATTGTACACACTAATGGGGGGTTTTGAACTCAGTTCAAAATTCATTCTTGGCTGTGGAGAATCATATTGCAATATGGCTTAAAGTTGTGCAATATAAGGCAGATCTGCCAAGTGTTGAGGCAGTATATCAGGAAGCATCTGTCATATAAGCACGTTTGGGATGTTAGATAGCGTGTAAATGAATAGTCGTGTAACTGCATGCTCTCTTAGCACAGGGTCGGCAACCTTTTCAAACCAAAGAGCCAAGCTACGTTAAAATTCAGAATATGTGATCAACAAAGAGCCACTTAAGAATGCCCATTTGCATGACTGAAAATATACTACTTAATAGTATTGATAATTGTCATAATGATGAGTAATAGCATACATGAAGCATTGCACTCAGACTTAATTTAATGGGACTTTTGCTGCTGCATATTTTCACACATTTCTTTGAAGTTTAAACCATAACTGGTCAAATCTAGCTTCATGCAGGCATTCAGGCTGTCTTCAGTCAATCTTATGGCAGGAGGCTGAGGATGTGGGAGTACAGGAGTCTGGGTTGGGGTATATGAAGGGCTCAGGACAGGGGGTTTGGGTGAATGATGGTCTCAGGGCACAAGATTGGGGTGTGTGGGGGTGCAGGAGTGTTATGACAGTGGGCTGGAGATGTGATGGTGCAGAAGTTTGGGGATATGGGGGTGAAGGAGTCTGGGAATGTGGATGTATGGGGGGCTCAGGGCAGGAGGTTCAGGTGTATGATGTTCTCAGGGGTGGTGTGGGGGGGGAGGAGGAGCAGGAGTGTTATGATGCTGGGCCCCAACTGGGGACTTGTTGGCCAGGCTTCATTTTTAAATAAAGTAAAATATTGTGTCCAGCACAAATGGTTTCAACATTGTCTTTATTTATGGTGGGTGTAGAGAACCTTTTTTGGGACATAGGCCACTGACCAACAGAAAAATCAGTTGAGGACAAGTGAGAAGCAAACAGAACCCCCCCCCCCCAAAAAAGAACTCCCAACCCTCACTGATGTGGCCCCCAAATGAAACACCTCACTCCTCTGGTACTCCAGCCCCATGGGGTAGGGCGGGGGCAGAAGGGCAGAGAGAACTGAGCTTCTTTAAGACCTCGGGCCAGATTTACTCTTCTGGGGTTCCAGGATTATCGCTTTTGTGGGCCCCCCGAGTCTCTGGAGTGGGGCCAAAAATGAGGACAGGGCTGCCAGTGAGTGGGACAGGGATGGGGATGTTAGGGTTGCCAGATGGCTTCAACAAAAATACCAGACACACTTGACATTACATCACAATCTACATTACATCTTATTTAGAAAATACTGGACATTGCTATTTTCTCATTTATATTTTTTCAGTATGTTTCCCGGACAGAAAGCTCAAATACTGGACTGTCCGGTTCACAACCGGACACTTGGCAACCCTAGGGGGTGCAGGATCTGGGCAAGAGGTGGGGTACAACAGAGAGTGAGGGTGTGAGGTCTAGGTGGGAGGTAGAATGCAGGAGCAGGCTGGGAGTAAAGTGTCTGGCCAAGGGAGGGTGTCAGGAGCGAGGGAGGGTGCAGGTGCAGGCTGGGGGTAGGGTGTGTGGCCAAGGAGGTGTCTGAGCTCCCCCACAGACAGAGGCTGGTCCATGGCAGCAGCCCTTGTCCGTGTGGGTTCTGAGCTCCCTATGGACAGAGGTTGCTGGCATGGAGCAGCTTCTGTCCATGGGGAGCTTGGGTTCACTGTGGATAGAAGCTGCATTTTCACAACCTTCCCTCCCCCTCACTGTGCTGCTGTGGGGGAGAGCAGGTGGCACTGGGAAGCTGGTGTTGGGGGATCCAGCTTTTAAACCAGCTCGCCCAAGCTAGGGTTGCCAGGTGTCCGGAATTGACCCGGAAAAATCCAGTATTTTCACCTCCTATCTGGTAAAAAAAAAAAATTCAGAAAATACTGGACACTTAAAATGTCTGGTATTTTCTGATTTTTTTCCCAGCCAGAGGGAGAAAATACCGGACACCAGACAACCCTACACACAGTCAGCAATTGGGCCCGGGACCGTCCCTTCCCCACCCCCAGCCGCTTACCTGGTTCTACAGGGGAGCTGTCTGGCCCAGAGCAGGGAGGGAGGCAAGATGGCCACTGGCTGCCTGTTAAGAGAGGCAGAGCCCAGCCCCTCCTGTCCTTAATGGGGCCATCCTGTTTTTTTAATTTTTTAATTTTTTTTTGCTTAATAACTCTCTAGGTCCTTTTTCTTTTTTTGCTCAACAACTTTGGTCCTCCCCCCTTTTTTCAACAACATTTTTTTCCCCAGGTTTTTTTTTTGGGGAGGGGGGATGTTCGGTATTTTTGGTTAAACCATCTGGCAACCCTACCCCCAGCATCAGCTCCTGCCTGCCCTGCTTCTGCTCCCTCTGTAGGAGGCAGCCAAGGGGGGCGCAGGTGGGTCCACGGGAGCATGAAAGCTTTCTACCCTCATGCATCGGTTCCAGCCTACTCCTCTCACTCTCCACGCTGCTGCCTATCAGAGGTAGCAGCTCAGGGGGAAAGGAGGCAGATCCAGTCCTTGTAGTGAGCTGGCTTTTAAGCCAGCTCCTCACAGACACCAGCTCCCTCTCCGCCTCTTGCTGCCTCTGATAGGCAGCAGCATGGAGGGTGAGAGAGGTAAGCTGGAGCCAATGCGTGCGGGGGAAAAGCTTCGCTGCCCCCCCTCTTGCTTCCTACAGAGGCAGCAGGGGAGAATGCATGTAGTCAATAAAATTAACCAATAAGCCCAGGCTAATTGTGTAGTCATCTACACAATGATATCCTGAAAGCACATGCACACACATACCTCCCCTCCATATATTTTACAGATGATTATAAGTTTTGTCAGGAAAACAGTTTCTCTTGTTCCCTTTCCTAAATTAAACATTAACTGCTGAAAGCCAACCAAGAATCTAAACACTGGTGGCCAAAAGGTCTCAGAAGAAGGGTCTATATGCAAGCCTTTTGTGCCTTAGGTTAAATAAGGAGACTGGTTCTTCTCTGACACAGAAGTATACATCTGAAGTCATGCCAATGAGATTACAGTGGTGTGAAAGGAATCAGACCCATACAATAGTTTCAGTATTTAATTCTGCCAGAACTGCATTCCATCACCTCCTTGATTGCCATTTTAAGTTGTGGAGGACATGGCCTTATCTGCCCATGACCCTGTGTTCAAGAACAAACATGGTACATTTTTTATTGTCACGTTTTGATAGCAGAGTTAAACATTGATGTTATTAGCAATAACAAGCACAAAGAGAATATTTTCTTTGTAAAAAAAAATCAATGATGGTAGCAAGATTATGCTTTAGTTATGTGTGTGCTATTTAATGGGAGCCAGTTTCCAATAATGATATAATCTGTAGTAGGATTTATATCCATAGAGCAGTGGTCCCCAACGTTTTGGGGCTGCCAGGCGCCTGGGGGCGGAGCCGCTCACGCGCTGCGCGTACGGGGGCGGGGCCGCTCACAGGCCACGAAAATCAATGATGGTAGCAAGATTATGCTTTAGTTATGTGTGTGCTATTTAATGGGAGCCAGTTTCCAATAATGATATAATCTGTAGTAGGATTTATATCCATAGAGCAGTGGTCCCCAACGTTTTGGGGCTGCCAGGCGCCTGGGGGCGGAGCCGCTCACGCGCTGCGCGTACGGGGGCGGGGCCGCTCACAGGCCACGTGACTGGGGGCGGGGCCAAGCATGCACCGCACGCCTGAGGTCGGCACCGGCATGTGTTGCGATCCCGGGCAGGGGC